CGTCGTTATACGTTAAGCTGGTTGTAATAACGTCCAGCGCGAGCGGATTTCCAAACTACTTTGAAATAACACTAAAGTCTGAATCCGACGATGTAGTTAGTCGAAAATGGATTATACAGCATCAAAATTCAAAAGTTTCTACGTAGATATAAATTTTCAGGAAAATACAAGAAAAATATTAGTCGAAGAAGTATAAAATCCACAGAATTTGATATACTAAAATGTTAATGAAGAAGATTCAATTAAAACGAAACGCGCTCACGCAAATTTATCTCTTCGAAGCTTAAAAGAAGACTGCAGGCAAAAAGCACACGAGATCGATCCCGTGAAAATCCGATTCTTGAGTCACGTACATTGAGTCTCACCAGCAATTTTACTTGTTAGCTATCGAAAGAATTTTTGCAACGTTATAAACTCGAAGCGGAACTCCCGTCCGGCCGGCGAGCGCATATCGGCAACTTCGATACAAGAAGGTGCGATCGGCTTCTGATGGTATTCCGCGAATTCCGTCTCGACAACGTTGGTCAAGTATCTGGAATCCTGCCGACGGAAGGAAAAACGAGCAATGGGCGAATGTCCTGCATGCCGTGCAACTTTTCCCGATTCGCCGCTCCTTGACTCTCGCGCCTTATATAGCGAGATTCGATGCACGAAGAAAATAGAGAGATAAAAGAACATTAAATTCGCGCATAAATAAAACTTGTCTAAAAAAAATTAACCTTTCTATAAAAAGTTGTTTCTCAAAATGTTACTTGTCGAAGAATCCCTTTCCCTTCTCTCTTCCTTCCCCTTCTCTATATACTTTTATGAAATATAATTAATTATATTACACTCAACTAAAATTATATATGTATATGTGAAAGCATAGTGCGTATTATGCGATTAAAAAATCAATACATTTCACATGTTTTATATGTTCCGTCGTAACCACCATAAAGCCGCATGCTTCTCGAAGCAGTAACCATTTGCGACGCACTCCCGAAAATCCTTTAAATGCTCATCCCTTTAAGCTGCACTATGCCGTGAGCCGATAAGCCGAAGTACGATGCACCGTCTCTACCACTGCTCGATCACTCAATCGATCCGGGAAACAAAATGCCGCACAATTCTACAGGCAAATGTCACAGAAAAAGTTTCTTTGTTTCTTCGTGACATAACAATTATTCGTAATACTTAACATGGTTGAATTGCATGACAGATCGTATTTACGGCATCAAACAAATGTATAAGACGCTAGTACAAAATAAAAAAGACTAAACGGAAGTAAGAAACAATGTAGAAACGAGATAGCAAGCAACGCTAAATAAGAGATGGACAGTTACATTTAGTGTAATTGAAGCGAGCGATATTACTTGGAAAAAATTGTTCGTGCAAAAGCACCGACTGTCGCACTAAGCAAGCGCAGCACGATGGATATTTCTCAGCGCTCGCGCTGGAGAGGTTAATCGCCCACTTGCCAGAGGAAATCGCGAGGATTTCCGGTCGCGCGCGGCGCGGCGCGGCGCGGCTCGTCCCGACCTTCTTATATCCATTCATTCCGCCCTGTAAGAATAACGAGGCTCAGGCTGGAGCAGTAAAAAGTGATTACCCTCCGACAAGCATCATCCGCAGTTATCAATTTTCTCCCTTCGCGACTTCGCGATCCGGCGGAAGCAATATCCACGTAGATTTCTTAATCTCACGATTCCCTCTCTCGTTTTCTTCCTCACCCCTCCCCCCTCCGCATCGGGCGACAGTGATAGACCACGGCGAGCTAAATCGAGGGAAGCAAACGCGCCCGCGTTTCTCAGTGCCAGCTGGACGCTCGATCGACGAGACGTGACTGTCGTAATCGCGACTCGCAATTATCAGATCCAATTTGTCGCCGAGCGAAGAAAGAATGGCGCATGGAACGAACGCGGAAGCGATCGAAATGGAAGAGGATTGAAACGGTGGAAGGGATAGTTTGTCGTTCGGCCCCCTATCCCGGCATTAACTTGCCTGCAACTAGCAGCAGTGGCAATTACTTTGCGTTCGTTCGGTCGATACCGCGATCTCGAATGCCACTATCGCGCGGGAATGAGGCGACGGAGGAACGCCGCTATCGTCTCGATATTTCCACGCGGTATTTCCAGCGTGCGTCTGGGCGAAGCGTTTTCTTCGGGTCTCTTTGGGAAATCGAACAAGGATGGAGAAGAAGGGGATGGCAGAGGGGACGTCGAACGATTTGCAGAAGCAATTTGTCCGTGGCGCGAAATCATGCGGCCGGATTCCCAGGGCCGGTTCCCCGCTGAGTAGCTCGCGTCGATACCGATTCTCGAGGCGATGGAAACGCTTAATAATCCTGCGTGGAATAGTCCCGAATGCGACGATAAGACGTCAAGGAGAGAACACGTCGTCGGACTAATCGCGAATGCGGAAATTCGATTAACGCCGTTTAGAGTCCGCCATTATGGGAAAGAACAGTTATCACTCTCAGTAATAATACATCTGACTGTAAATAATATATGAATACAGACCAAATGGACGGTAGGCGCTTCAAAGAGACTACTCTCCGATATAACAGGTTTCATTAAAAAAAATGTATAATGTTGTTTACTAATTATATTTGTAACAAACCAACAGATAGAAACATTTTTGACACATCATATTTGCGTATATTTATTTCATTATAGCTATTTTAATTATACGGAATGTACGTGAAATATCTTAATTAATTTTTAATCATACTGCATGAAAGCTAAAATTGGAATTTCTAGTCTGAATATGCTTTAAGCGTTTACATTTGTTTGCGATTCGTGCTTTGTTAATTTGTTTTGTTGTATTTGCACAAATGATTGCAAATCAGAAAGCACCGTGAATTGATTAAATTTAATCAAAAATTAATTGTCTTTCCATTTGTGCTCCCAGCTTCTATATCAAATAAATCGACTCCCGATAAAAGAAATGCAGTAAATATACAGCAAACATCATCGACTCTGATTTCATCAGACGGATCGCATTGATTTGAGAGCGCGTGAAAATTTTTTTCGCTATTTTACCGAAACATGGTGCAGTCCGTATTAGTATGAACGGCTGAATTATTAGCAATTCTAGCGGATCGATGGCAAGATCCGGATTTTCGATAGCATTATGTACGAAATATGGGCGTAGCTGGTGAACCGCGGACGCCCGCCACGGATCAGTTGTGGTTAAGCCCATGTAGCCACGTAAAAGGTCCCATTTAGATCCACGGGCCTCTCACAAGCACACAATACAAAATTCCCGTCGTTGCGGCACGTATTCACGCACCCCTTGTTACTGTGCGATCAAAGCTGTCAGAACGAGGTTAAAAATATATGTATATAAATATATCAATAATACCTGCTCTTTGTACTCCTCTAATTGGTGCTTTAAATTGCCCCCTTCCTATGATTCCTATTCTATTACCGATACAGCTTATTTAATTAAGCGGTTCATTATTACACCTCAGCGGTGCAGCGATTGATGATTGGCTAATTAACTGCCTCTTTGCGCACATGGATTTCTTTTAATTAATTTGATGATTATCACAATTTTATTATCTGTCTTTATTAAATATTGTAATAAAAATCATGTCAGAAAGAGAGAGAAAGAGAGGGAGAGAGAGAGAAAATTTCTTGTTCAATATAATATAAATATTATATACATGTTAAATAATTCATCATGTAATTTTATTGTTTGAAATAATAAAAAAATTTACCTATGGTTCTTTATTTCGTTGCTCATTGGAAAGAAAATAATTATTACAGATAAAACTCGCGCAGTAGGTCTTGCGCGCAAGGATATTGGAGAGTTGAAGATTTAATTCGAGATATTTGAACAAAATTAGGACGTCGTTGAAAAGCGACGAAACTCGTAATAAATAACCAGTGATAATTGTAGATTTCGCAAATGTATTTAACCTTTATCACACCGACGGGACATGGCGGCCCGGTCTGCAAGTGGAAGCATGGGACATTTGCAACGAAAATATCGCTCGCGTCATCCTCCCGGGGCATTAAATATAACTGCCAAATCAAGGCAGAGGATAAAACTCCGTGTGAGATAAAAACTGATGGCGTGCCTCGAGCATTATATTGCGACGTAAACGGATAAAACGACACGTCGCTGACGCGTTCTTCGTTTCTTCTCATTTTCGCTTATTTCTATCGAAACCGCCACCGTACCGTTACGAAAATAAATTGGCTATATACCGTTTCCGCTGTAAATGTTTTGTTGTCGCGACGGACGAAGACACTGCGAGTTCTCGCGACCAAGTTATTAACATCTAAAATATATCTGCGACACCTTCGGGCGAAATGTAAGCGATAAAAAATATACTTTGTACGTGTCGCTGAAACCCTTAGTTTCCCTCCTTTCGCATCTGTTTAGCATTTTAAGAAATACAATTTACATCGCGCTCGTGATATTATGCAACGTTATGTCACAGACGGATATATTGCCTACAGGTGTAACTTGCAACAATATTACTGCAACTGTGGCACATGCGACAGCTCCCTTTTTCCTGCGTATTTTATCGCGAGGGAATTCGGTAGCGCGGGGGATACCTGTTTGTTCGGGGTAGTGCAGAATTTGCCGTATATTTGTGTGTATCGAATTTCCTGGCAAGAGTATTACTCGAAAGATTGATCGTACCTATTTGGCGAAACCAAATTACACTTGTGCTCGTCTCTCGGCCCCTATCTTACCAGCTGTTTCGCTCTCGTGGTTAGCCCGATTTATTTATGACCAGCATGATAAATAATTAGCTTTCATAATAAAGCAGGAGATATCGTTCGAAACATCAATAGATCATTACTCACATTGTTCGAGAATAAAGGCTAGTAATAAGGCGGACAATGTGTTGTGCTTTAGACAAAATTGATTTATCGGAAAGGTTTTCTAAATATAAAGTGATATTTTCTCCCGTAGATGTAGCGAATTTAATATTCCAAACTTGCAAGTCGGAGCAAAATGTTGTTTAAAAATATCATAATAATGCAATATATAAAAACACTCACGCTAAAAGGGATTAATGAATTCTTCACGGAAGGTATCATCCATTGTTGGAAAAGCGACATCATCATTTGGCATCCTACGACAACTTCCAATATCCGTTTTATAAGAAACCTGTAAGTTATATTGAATAAATTAGATGGATTAATATGCAAAAAAGCAAATCTTCATATTAGAAAATATGATTTTAAGATTAACACTGCGCGGACACCATGGGCCTTTTGAGGCACAGTCGATTTATAATTTTTACGGGAATGGAAAAAAATGTAACAATTCCGGCCTATGTAAATAGAAAAATCACTTTTTGAAGCTTTAAAGATGGTACATGAATTGTTATAAATTTTTGTAACGATTTCAAAAACCTTTTAGACTTAAAAGTCCCAGGGTATTCGGGTGAGTGCTCTAAAAACACGGTGTCAGCGCAGTGTTAATATAATTTGGTACGAATAAAATTGTTTAATTTTTAAGTTTAAGCGCAAAAAGATATGTGTGTGTGTGTGTGTGTGAATAATTTCAAATTGTATATTTTAACAATGCAATATATACAGTTTTGATTTAAAAAATCAACACTTTTGTCTTTTGACATACATTTAAATGTATATCTATGTGTAACACTACAGTAAACGAGAAGATTAATCTTTTATTGGATTTACGACCGTCCAAACTAATTTGCTTCCATGTGATTCTATTACATTGATCATTATACACATATATTTGCTCCTCTAGATTTTATCGACAGCGCAAACCGATTTCCGACCAGACCCATGAATTTCCACCCCCGTTCTCGTTACCCTCCCAGTCACTCTCTCGACCATAAACCGCTTCTCGAAAAATCGAAAATACGACTTTTGAGTGCTATCGCGTGAAACGACATTCCCATTCGGCGATATGTCGTCCGCGCGAGTTTCGTTTTCGGCAAACTGCTGGCGACAAGTAAAGTCTGGATGCATTTTTCGACGAACGTGACTGCACGCGGGAGACGCGGCACAGAAGGAGAAAGCGCACAACGAAAACGATACAAACAGCGATATACGTATAGTTGGAACAATAAACTTGAAAAAAGATATACTAAGCGTGTGATAATTCAATTTATGTATTACGTCTGATTCATTCACAAATATGACATATAATCTTTGAAGAGTATTATATTGTAATTAATATTATCGAATGGGTAATCCGGATTAAAATTTAATACGCACACAATAAATCAGTTATTTATGAAAATATTCAATATTAAATTCTTTATTGAAATATCCTATAACAATTCACATTTTATTAATACGTTACATTCACGTTACTTTTGATATTACAACATTATTATTAAACATATTATATGCATTGAAATTAGGAATTAGCAAAGAATCCCTTTCATTGATTCATGAAAATTCCTTGCGTACATTTCTGTGATTAAATTATTATTCACAAATGGCACATCACAAATAAATTTAAATCAAATTTCTCAAATGAGAGTTCTAAAACGTACATCTCACACAGAGAAAGCTTCCTCCAATTTCGACTTGCACGAATAATTCATGTTCTCGATAAAATCTCGGACAAGGTAAAAGAATTGCCTTTCTCCTCAAAATTTTCTTCTCGGAACACAGAATTCATTCGTTGGAATGAGAGTTTCGTAAACTGGCGACTTGGACATTTGTTGACATTCTTTACGAAAAGAAATAAAGACGTGAGAGAGAGAATCGCGGTGGATATGCCATGAAATCTATACGAGAAATCTGAGAGTAAACACGGATTTATACACCTCACGCAATGCATGCGCTCGCGCGACCAAACTCAGACAATATCAAGTTTCCACTTGACTCGTTTTCCGATCAAAGTGAACTTGGTAGTATTCTCGAGACATATGTAAACCGAAACAAGGATATGTCGCTTCAAAAAAGTCAGATAAAAAAAACCCATTTAACAACCATTCAAGGAGATGCTGGACTGACGGCCGAACTTTTTCGATGTCGATAATGTCAACATTTCTAATTTTGTTTTTTCTATATCTGTCTTTGTCTAACGAAATGACATCTGTCTTTGTTCAATTGCTGCGCCATTTCTGCTTACTAGCCTGCGTGTATATTTTCGTGGAAAATATGCCCGATTTCTTCGAAGCTCTAATTTTTTTTCCAGGCTTTCAATCTCACGTTCAAAAATACGTTATTGTTTGTGCACGTATTCTGAAGAGTGGGAACATTTCATTTCGTACATATAACTTATACAACTGTTTATATTAGAAAATAAGTTTATGAGGGGTGACAGCATTTTTACATTTTTTTTTAATTTTCACTAATTTTTTATAATCCCACTCTTCATTAGTACCTATACTTTACTCCTGTAAAAGGATTTTGCGATCTATAAAGCCGTTTTAAAAAACGAGCTTTGACTGTAATTGTCGGTAATTGTCCCCTGTCCAGAATCCCTTAACAGAAATTTATTGCATAATTATTTTAAAAGACACTTAATTAGGACGCTCTCATTTTTCTCGACCGAAATCTATAAATTTTGACATATCGCGGTTGATTTCAACCGAGACGAGAATAAGATCTTATGTATAATGATTAGAGAAGATATTTCTGTTTGCGTTACCGTTTCAAAACAGATCTATGATTGCCAAAAACCTACACAATCTTAACGGAAAATATGCCAGTTGGAAACTTGTGTTTTCGATAGAAATCACAAATATAACTTCATGTTGAAATATAAAAATCGCAACTCCAATTCGCACTCACCTTTTTCGAATCCGCTGTGTTCTGGGAAAATTCAATTCGTAGCACAAAGTAGGCGCCAATATATAGTAATAAAGATCGCCAAAGTTTAGATTGTCAGGATATTGGACCAACGCGTTTCCGCGGTCGTTCATCTCGTGTTCAAATTCGATGACATCATTTGCACTCTGCTGAATGCCGGAAGCTGCAAGAGAAAGATCGTATTTTATTAACTCGCGTCGATTTTGACTGCCATTGTAGTCGTATTAATGGAAAATTAATTAATCCGCGATATTGTAAAAAAAATATCTTTCATTACTATTTATTTTTGCTAACGAGAGAATAATTGTCATGAAAATTTGTATAGAGAAGCTATTGCTGCCAAAGAATAGATTAAAAATAAAAATCGTGGATAATACTAAAAAAAGTACATTTTACAAGAATAAATGTTCGTAATATTAAATGTTCTAAATGCTTGCTCGCAATTAGCAAAAGTAATGTGAAAGTTTCTAGGAGAATTTCTACGAGTTTCATGATTGTATCTCTTCCTTTGTGCAATCGCTTCTGAAGCCTCTCATCAAGCCCTCTCCTTAAGCAACGAAACTGATTCGCTCGCGCGATCCGTTCGGCCGGAAACCTCGGAATTTCTCGGCGTTGCGCTAGGCGCGCGGATTCCCATCTGCGCGTCTAATCCCACCCCGGCGCCGAACCAGTAACTGATAGAATCCCCTCAATTATCCAAATCCGATGAATAATCCAATCTGGAATTCAAATAAGCCCTGGTTGCGCCGGGTGCCGCGCTGCACTGCCATGCCCCGCTCGAACTCGACAGCGTCCCGGACTAGCGTCGCGACGCGACACCAAAGTTGTGCTAGTCGCGGCACGCTCTCGCGACGCCGATCGACGTCCATGTCGACCAACGACTCTAGACGTCGTTTCTACGACCCTCGTAATAAATGTAGAAGAATTCGACCAAATTAAATTCCTTGCGCCCCCTTTTTACTTTGTCGCGTCCCGACTTCGCGTCCTTCTCTTCTCTCTTTAAATAGCGAAATAAATGTAGCTTGTTCTTTTCCTTTTCTTTCCCGTTCGGGATCCGCCGTCGTCACGCGCGGGAAGACGAAGGCAAAACTTACGGCAAAATCGTCGGCAAGACGTCGCGACGCACGTCAGTCGCCCGTGCAATTGTTTACGGGAAACCGTAAATTCTCCGGACGATTTAAGAGACACAAGACAAGGAAGAATTATAATCGCCAATAATTATAATTAACGATATATTCTTACATCTATAGTAATCTTATATTTCTATATAAAGATAATTACGAGAAAATTACAGATAATTACGAGGGAAAAGAGAAAGATCTTGAACGAAGCACATCGGCGACTTACATATTATACGTTCGCCAGTAGAAATAACAAAATTGCGACGTGGTTTCGATGAACGGTCAAATACATGAAATTAACGAGTGCACGATCACGCAGAAGCGCTCGGAAACGGTTTAATGATTCGTTAATACTCCATGTAAATTCGTTTGATCAAGCCTGTGATCTTTGGTCAGTAAACCCTCCGCCGCCGGCGGGTTATTAATTAAAAACCATTCCCTGCAATTCGATTTGCACCAACTGCTTGTATTTATCCGAAGCATTTCCAGTTGATCAATTGTACATATGCTCGAACCTTTTATACCAATTTTCATTTACATGCAAAATTACAAATCATAACTGTTATATTATTGCTCGGTTTCTAATTGCGCTATATATTAATTATTTAATAAAAAAAAAATTATTTCCGATAAAAAACAGATTACAATTTAAAACATTTTTACATTTAATTAAACGTTAATTCAATTAAATTCTAGTTTATATTATAGCCGTATTTTCAAAGTAAAGACGTAATCGAGTTTACATTCTTAGCGTCACCTGATTCATTTGGTAGTTCATTTCAGTAATTATGTTAACGAAACAGTCGACAGGATATTTCCGAGGAAATGTTCCTTTGTTTATGCGGTGAGGCAGACTTTGTCTCGACGTTCGTTGACATATTCTTGACGGAGCATGACGTTCCTTATCTCACAATATGGCTGAGAGGTGACTCAGCTGCATCATGAGACTTTATATATTAAAGTACCATGCCATTAACAACGATGCATAATACACGCTATAATTACACGTTGATAAACCGAAATCATCAACCGAGTAATCAAACGTTTTTTAAATACTGGCTCACACTTTGGATTATATTGTTTCATTTGCAATCTCTGATGTTATAAACATATCTTATACCGCAAACTTCAACTAATAATAACATAATAATAAAAATAATAAAATATATAATATTCATATTTTTAAATCTTGATTCAAATATTTTTTTCAAACTGCTCATTATATAATAAAAGATAATATCCAGCAAGAAAGACAAAGAATGTGTAGGAATTTTTTACGTTGACCGGGGGTCAACCTCGCGTTCTGCGATTGCCCAAGACCCGCCTATCTGTGCTCTTAGAATCTCCTTAGTGGCTCCTATCACGTTCGTGGATGGCCGCAAAAGGATGGAAGAAGATCGGGGATCGTAGCCGTCGGAGGGGGTTAAATCTCATGGGGACGCAGCGGGATCGAGCGGGCTTCCGTTCGCGACGGGTGTAATTTCTATTTTTTTCAATCTCGGCCTGAGGGCGTCTCGAGGGCCGACGTAATTTCGTCTTTGTGCCAAGGGATGCCTCGCGCTTAAGACCACCCTCGTTCATATATATCTCGAAACGTGCGCGATGGACGAAGAATGGCGAAAAAAGAAATCGATATCGAAGGGCAGACGTAGTACAGGGACAGAAGAGACAGCATCCTTACGAGAACGCCGCTTGAACGAGAAGTCTCACAAATTAAGCACCGATGCCACACCAAAGAAGAGAAGGAAGAAGAAGAAGAAGAAGCTTTCGCCAATCAATACGATTGCCTGCGATCTTTGACCACGCAATCCTGCAGACTCGTAAATTGTCTCACATCCTCGATGGCACGCGGACTTGAGACGACACCGACACCCACTTTTGCTTCAAATCAAGTACACGGTTAAATTAAATGCTGATTCCTTTCCATTTATTTCAGTTTGCTTTACAAACTCACCAAATAGCACTTACTCAGACATCCAATAATAGTTCTAAATGCGTGCAAGTTTATCTCATTCAGTCACTATGTATAAAAGTTACTGCCTAATATATTATTATTCAAACAATCCCTCGGTTCAATTTTCTAAAGAAAAATTCTTTATTATTTAAGGTATAAGATGTATTTATGAAAGTATAATACGTGTTAAATAAAATTTGGAGCAGAGAAAGTCTACCTTTATATAGACGCTAGTAAAGAAAGTGTTCCGGCTTCTTCCTGCGGGGTAAGCGGCCATGAGAAGCTTCACTTCTTGCATGATCGATCGGAGCCGTGACGAACAAAAAACGCCAAGGGTGCACCGCCTTCGCGATACATACACGGGTTACGTTACAGGCTCCGCGGCTGGTTCTACGTCGTCATTACGAGACGTAATAATACGACGTGCCATAGAAGTCCGGGTTAGGCGGATACGGCGAAAATTACACGGCGTCCGTGCGCGCACTAGATTACACGAGCTCGTGGTCGTAATAACGGAGTCCCGAGGCGGGCTTTTGTCGATTGCATTTGTCTATCGATCGATCGGCCGGTCGCCATCACGTCGCGTCGCGATGAGCCGGTGAGCGTCGAGGTGTCGTGCGAACACCGAGTTTCGATAATTATATCAAACTACGTCACTTTTTGCACCGTAATTAGGGACGCTCTCCGGGCGAGAGAACGATCGCGGGTCGGTCGAGCGGATAACGGGCTAATTAGCTACGGAGCGAAACGAACGCGAATATATATAAGCCCATGTCCGTATCGGGGAATATCCATCTTAATTCTTGGTGCGAAACGTAGCGTGGTCCCCGTGAGCGCCGGCGAGCGCCAAATCTACAGTCAAGTTGGAAATTGTTCGTCGCCTCGCAGAAAATTCTCGCTTCGATGAAGCGTGAATACCTTGCTTATCGCGAACTCGTATTTTTGTAATCGGCAGCACGAGCGTATACATGCACACGCAAGGCTGCTCAAAATTGCTTTTCCTCATGCTTCAAAGTCGAATAAACAACTTTTTATCTTTTAAAGTCACTTTAGAATGAAGGAAATGAAAAAAAAAACTCGACAATTTTTCAAATAATCCCCGCTTTAATTATTTGAATGTTTTTGACGATTTTTTTAGATACGTAAAACGAATTTCGTCGCATAAATCATCGCGCATTCGTCTGAACGCCATCGGAATCCGTGGCGATCGACATACGTACCAATCAACTCTGTCACGTCACGGCGTGTAGAACGATTGCGCAATCATGATTAAAAGTGCAAACGCACCGGGTCGACATTTTACCGTCGCTACGACTGCGAAGGGAGAACGGGGCAGGAAAAGGGTTAATGCCGCGCGCGGTGAGCGAATTTGTTGGGGGGAAAGACCGTATAATTTAACTTTGCCGGTCAGAATAATCGATATACCGCGGCGCGTCCGGCACCGGAAACATTGCGCGTCCGATCGGCAGAGTTTAAATTGGCTGGAAATTATTTTCCCTTTATCATCATGCGCGTATACACGTAGTGCGTAGATACAGGCGTACTCTTACAGTGAGACGCATACGTATATAAGTGAATCGCATATACGTGTGCGGTACGCCACGACGCGCCTTCAGGAGTGGGCAAATACCGCGAGTGCAGTGGATTACCGATTCGTAGGACGTGTTTGCATATTTGGATGTGTGCATTACCTGGAAGCGTATATGCACATCGACGTAACGATGAAGATTTACGCCGGTCGACTTCTATTCGGGGCGGAAATCCGTTATACGTATGACTCTAACGGCATCGATGGGACGTATTACAGCGTCGTAATATCGTAAAAAAAAGAAAAAAAAACGAAAAAAACCCATGGCATACGATGTAACCACGTAAAAAATAGTCGCTCATGCGTCGGAAATGATATATTCTCGTGCGTGACTATTTTTAGTTTCGGTGGCGAATCACGCGCGGATGGTACGCATAAAGTAAATCATAAACTAGATATGCGACGATGGAAATATCTCCCCATTTTTTTCTTTGATTCATTCCGTCTCATGTGCAAATAGAATTGTACAATATGTCGCATCACGCGTGTTGTGCTACATAACAAGTATATAATGATCATTTATTATGTGACAGACAAAGAAAATGTGGGACGTTATTAATATCGTATATTAATAAGAGATACGTGAAGAAATTACATGTACGCGTTCTTGTATACTTACACTGAAGATTACTATAAGACAGCTGACGTCTCATTCTGCCTTGCGTGGTTTTCTTTCGGTTGCTCAAGCGGCACCACATATTTACTTGTACGTACGACCATAGCTTCAAAAAGAGAGTGGCGTACAGCATACACACGTACATGGCACCAACTGAAACAATACACCGTAAAAATAGCTAGTGTTAAAAGTAAAATGTTTCAAGAATCGCAAAGTTAAATGTTTTTTTCTCCCTGTTTCACGCATGTACGCGCATTCGCTATTCGTTATGAATCTCGCTTAAATTTCAACGGGATATACTCCTCTCTTCTTCTATATATACAGTTCGATATCAATCGCCACGAAATTTCTCTCTTTCGCATGCACGACTGCGTACAGCGATCGCAGATCTTTCCGCAAAGTCCGCAAACGGCAGGCCGCGACTTAATTATCGACGAGTATCATCACTACGATCCTGAGAATGCCCCGTTATTATTATGCGGTGCCAGTAACTGCGGCCGTTGAAAAATGCAGACGCGATGACGAAGGCGTCGCCGTCGGCACGATCCTCATATTTTCCAATATTTCCACCGAGCGTGCCGCCGCGCCGGTGGCCTCCTTCGCGTCCCGGATTGTTCGTATCTTAATTAAATCGCGCCTGCGACCGAGCTATCCCGATCCCGCCGAGGTGGCGAGATTCCGCACGGGCGGAAAGACATAATTCCAACGGAACGAAACTGTTTTACCTTTCGCTTTTGCAGCGCCTGTCCTTATACCTGCATCCCAACTTTCATTTACCTGCGCCAGCGCGCCACGGGTGTCGCTGAAAATTTATATCCGTGTACTCATGCTATTAATTCTTTAGGAAGGCGGCAAGGTAGATTCGGTAAATATATCGAGAAAAAATAAAGCGACGGGATGACAGATTGACGAAGAAGGTGTACGCGCTGGTTCATTCGTTCTGCTGGAATTAGTTTGCAGACTATCGAGCAGGAAAATAACAGATAAACACATCATTGTGCACATATAGTAGTCGGCACAGCGGTGGTGGTACTGGTGGTGACAGCGACGCGATGGCGCAAATCACAATCGTTGAACCGATCGAAAGCGACAGCCTTTGCCACAACGTCGACGGGCTCGACGGCGATAATGGGGAAACGAGAAAGCCCGAAGCAAATATTACACGGCGATGGTATCGTTCGTTAATGTATACATGCTCGTCGGCAACGCACGAAAGCGCTACAGCATTTCCGCGAAATATGCGCCGATGCGTGTATTTGCCGCCCCCGTAGGGTGATGCAGTGGCATGCTAGCTAAACAGCTCAGGTACACTGCAAGGCAATGAAAAGGGGAATGGAGCTGTCCTCCGGGTACGTTCTGACAACGCGAGAGCTGTCCTCCCTCTTCACGATTCTTCCCGTTTTTCTCTCTGACGCTTTTCAGAGTGTCGCGCGGGCAAAATAAAAAATTGAAAACGGTAGTATATCACGTATTCAATTTATTATTTTAAATAAAATTGTATGTCGATATTCATAAGTGCGGGAAACCCTCTAATACGTTTAAAGTGTACATGAACCCTCCGGAGTCCGCCTCGATCCTGTTCGACAGTGCAGCTCCCGATGCATTAGGTGTTCAACAGTCGAAACGCGTCTCGGAACGCGTTTTAGTGCACCGCTCGTTGCCGCTTATGCCGTTTATAGCTTGTCCTCCGCACTTGTATTCGCCTGGGCACACCGGCGACGTCATACAGCGCGTATCAAGTGTTGGTACATGCCGAGGTAATTGCCAAATGTCGTGACGCGCATATACGTTGCGTATACGGTCTGTTGCAAAACGACACGACAGCTTCACCACAAGACTACGATCTAGCTTGAACAGCTCGTAAGAAAGCCTATTATTATTAACGAAATTTACCGTATAAAGTATCGCAATAATTCATTGATTTTAAATATAAAGATACTTTTCGAATATTCAAAAGCGATAAATCTTCTTAAATTGTGAGAGTTGAAAAGCTAAAAAAAGATTCAACTAAATATACATGTATTTTTTAAGATAATATGTATATGTTACTCCATTAAAAAAAAACCGATAGATGTAAGTGTGTAATTTTTTAAAGATTGCTATCCACTTGTTCTGTTTCGACAGGAGAATGTGTTTCTTCGTTCAAAGTATCGGAATTAAACTCGCCAATTCATCTACGCTACGAGCCTCGTTCCACGGAAGTTATTTAGTGCAAACGCGACGGATATCCTTCGTACGTCCCAAAGGTCCGATGGAAAATCGACGGAAAATTACTTTTCACTCTCTGCGAAGTCATTAAATTCGCGTATGTTCCACAAAGTATCGAGTCTATATTTCATCTGGTGCAAAAAAAAGTCAACGAAATGTCCTGCCGATAGTGGCGAGCGAGGCTATCGCGCGTCGATACATCCTACACGGTCGAGACGAATCGACGGAGATGTATTGTGCGCGACGGGCGATAGGGGTGACAGTACCACGCGTGAAAATAGTTGCTCAATTTTCCACAGCAGTTCGCCGAACTGAGAAATTGCCAGTTCTCACCGGTGGACCGCCGCCATTGTCGTACCTCGAAACCCACAATTTTTCGATTCCGCCATCTCATCTTTAATCTTTTTACTCTTCATGAGCATCGTCTCGAGAAGAAGAGCGGTATAAAATGTCCAAGCAAATTCGAAAAATTATAGAATCTTACATCATTGAAAATTTTTGGGAAACCCTGAAAACTCTGTTACGCGCTTTAAATCTCTAAAAGATAGCTTTAAAACTTGATAATACTGAAATTATAAATCAGAATTTTCTTGTTATTTTGGAGAAAAAAATATGTGTGAACTTGCATATTTCCCTTTTATTAATTTATAATATTTAAATAAATAACACGGAATTCGTAAAATTGTTTTGACCATCCACATACATATTTATAAGATCTAAATTCGCTCGATATTCATCCGCGACGCAAAGGAATATTTTTATTTGACACTTTATATTATTTTTCTTTCCAAGTACCACATGCGCTATGAAATGTTACAGCGAGGTAAGAATTCAGTTCTGCGAACGTCATCTGTCTTTGTTTCGCGTTCGCGTTGGCGAACTTTTTAGACATACCTCGTACGAGGTTAAATTAATGTCAGCTCCCGAACGGACGGAAGAACAAACAGCGAAACACAATTTCCAGCGAGACCGCGCTTGGTATAACATTCCCCGGCGAATTTCATCGTGCACGCTTCCGTGCGCTATCCCGGGCAAGTATAAAAGAAGGAGCCAGATCAATGATCAAGACTTTTCCTTACAGAGGAAACACTCGACGACACATTTTCTCGTCCGCCAAGTTCAAGTATCTCGGACTCCTTCGTCCCAAAGTGTGCACGTGAAAATAGTTTCTAATCAAAATGCATCGATTCACATCAGATGTGTCAATAAGAGATAGAGTAGAAAAATAACAGAAAATATACTGAACAAATTTTTAGCAGGAAGACGGAAAAGATATTTAAAAGTAAAAATTATTTGCTATTTTATTATTATCTTAATCGCAAACTTATCATTTCAATGTGAAATTATTACAACGGTTAAAAATATGTAAAAAAAAGAGAGATATTAGAAATATTCTTTAAGGAATGAAAGTCATTTGAATATTGGAATGCGAATCGTACCACATTCTTAACACAAAGCAGAAAATGTGAAAATTCCAGATACAAGAATTCTCCATAAAAGATTTTTACCAATAAAAACCTTTCAAGTAGGTATTCAAAGTGAATATATTTCTCAGTTGCTCAGATATAAAATAAATAAAGTTGAAATTTTACAATGTAATTTAAGATTGTAAAATTTAAAAACTATGCATCCAATTATCAAACAAATATCTAATTAAAATTGCTAGCAGAGATATTGATATTAACACAATCAATTATACAAGTATTAATTATATAAGATTTAAATCGCGTAGTATTCTCTCTCTCCATTCCTCTCACACATTACTTTTCTTTAACGCATTCGATGCACGCTACTAATATACATGCAAATATATTCTGATATGTAAAAAGAGGAATCATTCGATTAAAATCCATCTTCACGCGTCAGTTGAAACGACGCAATCTGTTGGGTTGTTTGATGGCAAGCATGAAAGCGTGTCATAGATTATATTCTTCTTAAAGTGTGTTTGGGATCGTCTCGATCTAGCTTTCATTCTTTATAGCATCGTGCGTATATCTTGTGAGCGAACACAATGGAACCACGCATTAATTTATAGATGCGCGCGCGCAATACTAATCTACAGTGAAACACGCTGAAGAATCTTATCGGACCAAGTAACTCGTTCTTACCGAGAAGCTGTATTTCGTTCTTCGTTTTTCCACGTACCTAAATACATTGATTCCCAATTTGGCCACTATTGCTCCCTAGAGAAGCTCTTTTACTTTCCTCTGCCCTACCCTTCACTTTTTCTCTTCTTCTTTTCTCCTGTATAAATGGATGGGTAAAAACCAGAGTGGTGTAAATCAATTTTTTTTAAATATTTTTTCGTGTGCATAAATGCAATCTGTATACAATATATACAATATATTAAACGCTTAACGTTGCTGGACATTTTTCTCAGTGTAGCAGAAACTAAGAATATAGTTATAAAACAAAAAAAATGCATATATATATTCCGACTATCGTGTAGTACGAAAGTCAAGAGTAAATTGTAGTCATTGAATCTTTTTTGTAAGATGTCTGAAGACTGATCCGATATTTCAGCAAAATTAATTTTCGCACTCACTGCGCGCTGTTAAATAATAAGCTCCCGACTGTTCCTATATGTATAATAAACAAAAAATGCCTGTCACAATTTGTAGTATTTGATAAGCGATGGGAAACGGCAGATGAACGAAGACTAGAATTCATTTCCGTACGACTGCGTGTTTTGTGTCGCGGCGCGGAAACCGTACCTGGGCGGACGCGCGCGCATCCCATTTCAGAAGCCGATATTCTTTCTCCCGTCGATGTAATTCGATTAATTCCTTTGTCAGACGGTATCGAAGCCCGCGTTGAGGCGAACAATGTTACGGCTGCCGTGCGTTTCTGAATCGCGTGCGCATTGCACTTGGCGTGACAACACGTGGATGCGGAACTGCACAGTGCCTGATACATTTCCGTGCCGACGCCGGCGTATAAATCGA